GTAGGGAATTAGCATACTGCTACAAGTTTTGTGACTGTTCCTCTTCAGAGAATCTGCATTAATTCACATTGAGAACATGAGGGGCAAATGGTACAGCTAATCATTAACAGTATGAAAGAGTTCTTAAAAAATCAACATTAAATTGGCTCATGTCCATCATTGACTAGTAAGTGATTATAAAAATACAAGGTCATAGCATATTCTTAAATGGGTAGAATGACATTTTGTATTTTAGCCGAAATAACCATTTGGTAAAAGTTAATTAATGAAGATTCCTACTTAATCCAGACGCATTTCTGAGACTCCTGACAAGTTTATCTTAAATATGCAGAGACATTTGACAATTATCAGTTGGATTCCTAAGGAAAAATTTTGCTTTAAATTTCTACATTTACAAGGACATTTGGATAGCTATCTTTTATCTTTGCCTACATGTTGTTTCCTGCCATTGTACAAATGGAAACGGTTAGATCTATGAATTTGTAATACAGATTTCACTTTTTAAATGCCTGAGAACAAATGAAAAATGATCTTGCAGCAAAAAGGAGCAGAAGTAATACTAAAGGGAGCCTTGCACCAAATTATTTTTACAAGTAGAATAAAATACCACTAAGAAGGAAAGAAATACTTCACATGTATGTCAGCAATTTTTTTTAAAACATAAGTACAACATTTAAATATATTCGACTGGAACTTTTCTTGCCATGGCCTTAACCATAGACATGGATGTCAAAATCAAAAGTACGTACATTAGAACGAGCCAAAAAATGAAATTATTATTCTGTGGAAAATTATTATTTCTGTGGAAATGTTGAAGTCTGTTTTCATTCCAAATAGGAATTTCACAAAATGTCAATTCCAATAATAAATGAGTACATTATGTGTGGTGTTTGTCAAAATATAATGCAGTAGTTGAAATATTCTAAAATGTTATATGTAAACTGCTGAGGGGAAATGCTCCCTAGTATTCATTAGATCTTTTCTAAATCAAACAATGTTCTCTTTTTCATATATAAATAGCAAAAAACATGGATTAATATTGTAGATCCCATTTAGCTCTTCTTTCTCTTCTTATCCTCTAGGTTTAATGTAATGCTTATAAAAACCTAGTACAAATACACAAATTTTTATTTAATCACTTCAAAGACTTTTCTGAGATTTTTGTATTTTTCAAACACATTTTAACAGAGATTAATCTCAGTAAAACTTTTAACATTTCATTTTTCACAATCTACATCAGAAATCATCCCTTTTTCACAGCCAGCATATTCTTCTCAATAGAAAAAAGGCCTGTAAGAATGGAACAGTCTAACAATGTAATTTAAAAGCATCAAATATTGACTGTGCCCAGCTAAATAGAGATATGCATTCTGGAACCGAGCACTACACTAAACTTCCTCCCATTTAAAAACAGGGGCCGTTACTTCAATTGCTTTAATGACAGTGATTCCCATGATCCCACATAGGGCCATAGTCTTGTTTCAAACAAGGTTTAAGAGTTTGCATTAGTAATAACTCATTGTTCTCTACTGACTGCTGTCAATAATAGGTGAAGATGAGCTCAAAATATTTTTAGCTTCTTCTCAGGTTGTAGCTATGAAGAACTAAAACCTTCCCTGGGAAAGATATGTACCTTACACATGAGTTTTGTCAGACTCTGTCTTGAATACGTCCATTTGGTTATGGACCAACAGGCCCATTCAATCAGGTGTAGCTCTGGGAGCGTAATGAGTTCAAGACCCCACTTAAGACCTGTTAGACAAGAAGTGTTGTTATACTATATAAAGTAGCTTTTCTTCCCTGGAGGAGTGAGGGTCGGCCAGCGCTTTTACTCATCCAGTTCCTGTTGATGAGGTTTGTATAGTCAGGTTCTATATGATATATTTTATGTTGCTACACATATCCACAAGATTAAACATTTGTCACAGTGCTGCTGCTCTGTGCACTTTGAGGCTGAGCGTGCAGTAGAGCATAGGGGTCATTAACAATAACCTAAACATTATGACTTCTTTTCTGAAAGCAGGTCAAAACAGACTGTGAGCAAAATTGACATTTTAATTTTAGCAGAAGGGCCAAAGTTTACTAGTTCTAACTAGTTCAACAACACAGCCCTCTGAACACCTGGAAGACAAATCCATGAGAATAGTAATTTTTTTGGAAATGCTGTTTTTAAGATCTAGCAGGCTATGTTCATTCTGATTTTTCCATCCATGACTTAATGCTATTGAGATACTAAGCTTAGGACGTGATGGAAATAAGGAAGGAAATTCCACAGTGACTGGTCATTTTAAAGCCTGAGCAACTTGGTTTTGTCATGGTGGTTGCAAAGAGAGGGTATGTTAGCTCCTTAGCTGATTCTTCTAGAAACTGTAAAGCAGTTTTGAACCAGTAGTGTTCATGAATGCATGCTGTACTGGCTTTCTTGAACAGGTCTGACATGTGTCTACTAAATGAAAAGATAGAGGAAAATAGTGCTTACTCTACCATTGCCTATTTATCTGCCTGAGAGTAATAGTTTCGTACAGATTTCTGTTTTACATATTTCTATTCTTGGTGAGCTTTAGGTTCCTGGTCCTCTGCCCCAGAGAGAGATGACTTGAACAATGTAAGGTGCTCTTCCAGCTTGTATCAGCTGGTTATGGTCCCCTTGGTCTATTCAAGCTGTGTATAACCAGAAGGCAATACTGTCCTGTGAATCTCCTTTACAGATCTCAACTGTGCCCTCTGGTATGGGGTAGCATTGCAGAAATTGCACCCAAGTTACATATACCCAAATTTCCAGATGTGTTTGCAAGGACAGCTGGTGAGCTGGTGGCTTGTGACAGCTGCTTTGCCATAGCAGGGACAAAATGAATTAAAAATTTTTCTGCAAGTGTATTTTTCACAAGGACCAATTGCATGCCAGAATTTTAGCATAAAGCATCCTGTATTGAAAAAAAAAAAAAAAAAAGTTATTAATTTCCTGATTAACTCGTTTATTCTTTGATTTACTGCAAATTACAAATGCTAGCAATCATTAAATATTATGTATTTATAACCTGATATCCATTGCATGGTGTTGTGTTGAAAGCAAAACCAAAAGTAACTCACTCCTCCAGGTCCAAAGCCAGCAACCTAATCACTGACAACCACTATAGTCTCTACTTGGCAGTATGTAGCTATAGATAAATTTTATGTTGGATTTTGTAAGTCACCACAAATCTGAACTTGTTTTTTCTAGACTCTATAGGGAAAATAGAACAGATGGACTTTTCATACTGCTTAAATAAATCTCTTGCTTCCTTTGGCCAGCCTTCTGAAATAGGGTGGGTGAGTCAAATAGGTCAGACAAGCTGATATTTGGCTTCCTCTCATGTGAATAGAAAGTGGACACCTTTTATAAAATTTATCTAATTTAAAAGTGTATAGCTGATAACATTTTTGAGAAGTGATTTGTTAAAATATTGGAAGTTATGCCAGATATGCTATGTTGTTCTGTACCATTCCGAATGTAGGTGTCCTGTTTAAAATTCATTGAAATGTTGACTTTTAGACGAAACCCCTAATTTTCAATTCCTCAGCTCTCAGTAGTTACTACAATGTTATATCATTAAAAATGCCATTTAAAAATGCTAGGTTTGAGGCATAGATATTTGCAATTAAAATATTAATTGATGTATGCCAGATTATATAACTTCAGGTTTTCATCAGGACAGTGATCTACTGGACCGGCGGAAACACTGCTTCAGTGTCCAGTCTGAATCTGGAGAAGATCTTTACTTTTCTGTGGAACTAGAGTCTGACCTAACACTATGGGAAAAAGCCTTCCAAACAGCAACTTTTTTAGAAGTTGAACGGATACAGGTGAGAACAACTGCCTTGATGATTACCTTTTGGTACATTAACAAATTAGGTCTATATGAAATAATGATGCAATTTAAGAAATTCTCTAACCTCCTGCAGCTCTCAAATTATTACTGGTTTATGTATGTAATTGCGTAAAAACAGCTTGCCATCTAACATTCAGAAGAAATCACCTCAAATACAGTCTTTGAGTTATGACTATGTGATACATATTTGTTAACTAAAGTTCCTGGACAGAAGAGGACAAAAAATTTATAGATTAGGGACAAAAACAACTGTTCAGATATGCTTACATACTATCTTTCATGCTACTTTATTTGTTATTGGATAACATAAGAGAACCTTGCGGGAACTAAATTGTCCTTGTGATAATCAGGGATGAGAGTACACTGAGAGTACTTACCGGATGCAAGCAAGAACAAAATTGTACCTCAGATAAATATTCATTTTTCATACATTTCTTATGTCTTGTGTATTTACTCAATTGTCAGATGACAGAGCGGAGATGGATGACATTCAGGTACAGATTACTAGTGAATTTTTATAGTCAAATTACATATCAGAGTGTTTAAAGATGACTCTGTTTTTCTCACATGACCAAAAAGTCATAGTTTTTCTTATTTAAAATAGGAGAAAAAAAAATATCTACCACAATTATAATACACCTAATCCTAGTTGTTATACTGATGTTCTAATCATGAAAAGTACATGTGGTTGGAACAGCTTTAGTTGATGTTGCCATGAGTTATTCTGTATACACACCTACAAAAGTCATATTAGCATATTAGCCTTTGCAAGTATTGGCTAATGCTCACTTTCCCTGCACTCATTTTCTGCATCCTCCTGGGAAGGCAAACACTGACAGCTTTTTATTTAGACAAATTGTTAGTTAGTTATATATTAGCCCTCTTCTGACCTATAAACCAACACATGCAGATGGACTGAATTAGTATATACTAATGATGATCCATTTTGCCAAAACTGTACTGCTGTCAGTTTTAATGCATATCACCTTTGTTGGAGGAGGAGTCGAAGAAGGTTCAACTTTTATCGTGCACTCTGTCATGCTGAAAAATGTAAGTGTGGTTCTTCTGTATAAAAAATGCAACAATATATATCCTCTGCTACCAAATATTTGAGATGCTTTGTCTTTCTCACATAACTGACTGCAACGTTGTTTGTAGAAGCACTACTGTGCCATCAGTAAAAGAATATACGGCAGTTTTCTTGAATAACTTTTAGCCCAGAAGCCACTTCATATTTGTTCTGCTCTAGTATTCATTCATCCTGCAGCATTCCTAGTTTAGATTTGTCTTTTTAGTTTTAGAGTTACATTTATTCAAAATTACTCCCATGTTTCACAAAAAGAATTTCCCTGATAATCTTAACCTCAGATTAATCTTAACCTTTCCACCTTTATTTTCATTCTACTGATGTTTAGAGTAGCAGTGATCTAGTCAAAGTAATGATTTCCTGAGAATGATTGATTATGGTAAATTTGTGAAGGTGGACAAACAGGCTTGTCATGATAGATTATTATTGTGGAACTCACATTTATGATTTCTTTATTTTCTTGCCTCTCTATATCTCAGTTTGGAAAAAAACAGAATACTAATTTTTAATATAACTGGTGTTGGCCTCCTCATTTTTCTTTCAGCAATCCATTACTGCTTTCATTCACCAATTTGCAGATTAAGATGAAATCTGGTTTGACTAAGCAGTGGTATAATTTGTCTCCAACAAGTTCTTTCATTTCTCTATGAGAAAAAAGGGTGACAGGTTCAAAACAGAGATATAAACTGTACATTTTTACTAAAATTGTGTTTTATGCAATCATATTCATACGAATACTCATATTTCATGTGAATTATAATCTAGCTATGTGCAGGTTTGTGTTACTATGAAATCATATAATTTTGAAAATATAACTGCATTTTAAACTGCCATTTAAAATTATTCAAATGTATTCTGTACTATTCCATAATCATACAAATAATAATAATTACTTAGCGAGTATAAATTGGCATTAACCTCCACAAGAGGTTAATTAGGGCCCTATTCTGATGTAATTCTAAAGAATATATCACAAATGAAAATATTTTTTAAATGCCCCGCTATAAATATGTAAAAAAATATCTTTAAGCCTAATTCATAGCTTCTGCCAGAGGTATATCTAAAACACAAATTAGGTAGGATTTTTTTTTGTTTGTTTTTTTTTAAAGAAATGTATTAGAGGTTAGTCAAGTTGATAATAGTTTAGCAATAATATGTGGTACGATGTTATAGTAATGCCATTGTGGAGGGTTACAGTCACTAGTTAGTTTTCTTTAGAAAAAAAATTGGTTGAAATGGAGATCTTTTTTTCCTTACTATATGTCCTGGTTTCAGCTGAGAGGATTGATTTTTCTTCATAGTAGCTAGTGTGGGGATACGTTTTGGATTTGTGGTGGAGACAGCATTGATAATATAGAGATGTCTTTGTTCTATGGACTTATTGTTGAGCAGTGTTTACACGGGGCCAAGGCCTTTTCTGCTTCTTGCACTGCCCTGCCAGCGGGATGGCTGGGGGTGCACAAGAAGTTGGGAGGAGACACAGACAGGACAGGTGACCCAAACTGACCAAAGGGGTATTCCATGCTATATGACGTCATGCTCAGTTTATAAGGAGCTTGGAGGAAGGGGGGGGGCGCAGCGTTCGGAGCAATGGCGTTTGTCTTCCCAAGTAACCATTATCCATGATGGACCCTGCTTTCCTGGAGATGGCTGAACACCTGCCTGCCCATGGGAAGTGGTGAATGAATTCCTTGCTTTGCTTTGCTTGTGCGCGCGGCTTTTGCTTTACCTATTAAACTGTTTTTATCTCAACCCACGAGTTTTCTCACTTTAACTCTTCCAATTCTCTTCCCCATCCCGATGGGGGGGAGTGAACGAGCGGCTGTGTGGTACTCAGCTGCCGGCTGGGGTAAAACCATGACACTATATCACAGCATTGTTATATGAAGACTCTGAGACTACTGTAGCTTGCATAATGATGTGCAGTTATATATGATTGTCAGGTTGCCTTTGTGTTCCTGCTACTTTATGCTAAAATTTTCACCACTTCCATCATTATATTTTTTCTTGCTGTCCTTATTTGCATTGTAGTTATTTGTTTCCTAATATAAGGATTATTGTGTAAACTAGTTTCTGTTACAGTACTTTAATGTAGAGTACTTCAACTTCTCCACTGAAGTTGAAACTGAGTTTGAAAGTCTGAATTAAATCTTGGGCTTATAGTATGGTTTCCCTTAGCTTCTGAGACAGCTTAATACTAGGTTTCCAACATATAATTCCTCCCGTAATTTAAACTGTGTGTATCGAGGGAGTAGAATCTAAGGAATAACTTTGGGTTGTCTCCTTCAGCCCTGCCTGACCCACTGAATTATTCATAAACTCAATTTAAGATTCAGTATTCTGTGAGAGAACAAGAAATATGTGTTGAAATATCTTCTGCTTCTTTTTGGAGGGAGATGCTTCAGTTCTGATAAGGTTTTCATGAGCTCTGTGTGAGAAATCAGCAACTAAAGCCAAACATCCACAGTATATATTATTAATAGTCACTGATTTAGTGATTTAAAGTGTATGTTAAATGTATAAGAAATTTTAAATTATCAAGTCTCCTGGGAAGGGTTTCTGCATTTTTGTTTTCTCCAAATCTGACTTAAAAGACAAATTAAAGAAAATAAAGATGAGAAAAAAGTTAACAGTTAACAAGTGTCTGAAAGTTCACATTCTTACTCTGGCCTGTGACCAGAATCATGTGCAAGTGTGTACAACACATGCATAAAGCAAGGGACATTCTTCCCCAAAGAAATTAAAATCTCACTGTCCAGAGATCCTTTTGTTATTCTCACATTTTTGTTTCTCTGAATTGTTTTGAACATCATGGAATACATAGTCTGAGGGCATAGACTGGTCTTAGGTGTAAGTAAAGAATAAGTAAAGAATCAGCTACTACTGGTGGTCTGCACCTTATAATGCAGTTTCTTCATACCGATAACCACGTTGACCTGAACTAGATGATATTTCACCGCAAACTGTGCACTGCCTTTTGTAGAAAGAACCTGCAGTCTGGGAAGCAGGTTTCTTTTTCTGTGCAGCATTGAACCAAGACTGATATGTCCTGTTTCTCATAAATCTTAATTTCTCAATGAGACTAATTAACCCAGGCACAGTGCTGTGCTTAAGCAGAGGTAGCTGTGCCAGCTCAGCATGGTGCTACAATGCACATTGTAGGTTGACCTCTTGTGTTGAGGTAGGAGGTCAGATGAGTTAGAGAGCAATACATATTTTAAATTTGATATACTGTCCCCTTGCCAAATTTTAATTCTCAGTAAAGGTTCCATGTCTGTTCTAGATATCTTGGAGGTGTACAAATAAAAATGTAGTTTGCATCTTGTAGGAAGTTAGCAAGGTTAATTCAACAAAACTGTACATTTTTTTGCTTTGCATGCAAAACCTGAAAATTTTGGCATATGTGAATTCATTAAGTAGTAAGTCACTTTGAAATGTATTACTTTACTCTCTTTTCTTCTACTAATGATATGTTGCCAGAGGCAATATCCTCTCCTTTTCTAACAACACTGATTTACGATCAAAGTTTACATATTCATAGCAGTTTTATGGTGTAGCCGCTCAAAAAAAAAAAGCCACTTTTATTTGCCAACATAAACAGAAATACCATATGACTGCAACACTGCAGAGATGAATCATTGATTTTGTAATTTAAAATTTTGGGGTTTTATACATTAAGAGTTATAATGACCAATTGTACCTCTGTACTGTATGAATTCAGATTTTATACATATAGTGAAGTACATAAAGTTCTTTCAGTGTTGGAAGCTATAAGAATAGACCAATTGCTGTTTTCCACCTCAACAGCAACAGTAGGAAACTTTTCATTTACTGACGGGCAGTTACAGCTCTTGAGCACCTTTGGTGGATCACTCAGTAACAAGTGATTTACCGTTCCTCAGTAATAACACAAAACCATCTTGTAAGGTATGTGTCATGGATTGATTTTACTTCTGAGTTGTAGCTGGCCATGCTTTGTCTATAGACTGCTTAAACACTGCACTTGTGCCCCACTGACAACTAACAGAGTGTCCTTCAGCTTCAGTGATGGATATCACTGCATTTGAAACCTGGATACTAGAGCTTTTTGTGTGCACAGAGATTAACCAACAACTGTTTGTACGTAGTTGAGACGTAATTTGATCAATGAAAGTAATTCACTCAAATATTTCAGTTCCAGAAAACAAATCTATATTGAAGTGTAAGAAAGTCAAATTTAAAATAACCGAAGGATCTATATAGGTATGAACTTTCTATTTTCCTTCATTACAATATCTATTTCAAGTCTTAGAAGCTGTTAATGAGCATTTCAGCTTCTTGTGTTCTGGGGAAGACCATTTAAAATCCAAAGAGCCCACCCAAAGAATATATAAGTAAAGGCATGTGATTTATCCCTAATAATCAAAATGACAACAATAATACATATTTTTGTAACATTGATAATTTAGTAACTTACATTGTTCTCATGTTTACAATTTATATTTTGGTTCTTTGACACATTATAGATCATGGAAGTCTTTGTTCTCATTTTGTATATTTAGTGGCTACAGCAACATTTGAAGAATGTAACTATATTTCATTTAATATGGAGGATGAAATTTCTATAAAATAAAAATAGTTTCTTTAAAGAATTTACATCAGATTTTGAAATGTTTTAATTTTTTAACATATTTTGTGATGAAAAATACAAGTTTGTAATTCTGTACCTGAAGTCAGCCTTTGTATATTGGTCCACCAGCTGAAGCAAAAACAGTATTTCATACGATTAAGTCAATTACTACATTGTATGCAATACTACCTTTTTCACTGAGATTTAGGCCAACACAAAAGCACAATAAACAGCATACCAAAGGGATATTTTACAAATGCATTTATTTTTTTCTTAAAATGCTAAAAGGAATATATTAATGTTAGAGGAAGTTACTAGGTACCAAAACAAATAAAAGTGTTCAAAAATAATGAAATTTCCCTTTTAGCAGTTGTCATTGGTAAACCACTGAGGCAATTCTGATTCTGATTTATTTTTTCCCTAATGGAAGCAAAGTCTCTTTTTACAATACTTAGAAAATGTCATCGCTGATATAAATCCTTTGATTTGAAATACACTGGCAATAAATTGACCTATTTACACACAAATGCCTTATTTATGATAGTAATTTTGAGATATATAAACATTAGAATAAAGACAGAAATACTGGTCCTAGAAAGAATTTGAAGAAATGTGTTCTGTGGTAACAACCTTCTCTGATTTTTCTTTTACAGTGCAAGACGTATGCCTGTGTTTTGGAGAGTCATCTTATGGGACTTACCATCGACTTTAGCATGGGCTTTGTCTGTTTTGATGCTGCCACAAAGGTAAACTTCTAAGACTTGTTTCCATCACATTATCATTATTCCTTGTTATTTCTTATATTTTGTGGTAAGTAGTACATCCTTAAAATGTACTTCTTTTTGTTATTGCAACAGATCATCCCTTGTCAAAACTCTCGTGTTTTAGTTTAAACTCAGGAGTGATTTCTAAATGATGTGAGAAGTTGTATTCTGCTATGTGCTTGATATTGAAAAGTCAATAGCAATATCAAACTGAAACAAGCATCAAGTCTTCATTCTGTAATTTCACATGAAAACCCAGACTGATTCAGATTGATGTTTCTTTTGCTGGTGCATTCTTGGTTTTGAGAGGAAAATAATCTTCTTGGTTTCAAGCTGATCTGTGAGCTTTGAAAAGAACCTGCCTTGCTCTTCTCCTGTTTCATGAGTGGGAGTGTGTGTTATTACAGCAATCTCAGTTTGTGTTTTAGATATTTCTGTTCAGGTGTCTGTAAAAAAGAGGAATCAGCCATGGTCTCTATGCCTCACGCTTTTCTCATGAGCCCTAAAAAAGCTCAGTACAACTGATTAAATAGTTCCCCATATCAAGTGAATAATACGGGATTGTGGTGGTTTAACCTTGGCTGGACAACTGGAGTGAAGCTTTGATGACTTCATGACAAAATTAAGAAAGCCAACATGGAATTTTCCGTCTTCCAGGTCTCCCAAGCTTGAGAAGGCTCATAAAGCATTGTAAGAGTATGAGGCAATTTTACTTTTCCCTCTTCCCTTCATCTCTAAAGCCACGAAACCATGGAATGAACCTGTTCCTTCTGGGGTGGCATCTAGCCTCAGCATCCAAAAAGTTCTGAAATCTTAAGTCAAGCATTGACCATAACTGAGTGTGTATGGATCTTGAGGGTCTAAATACTGATGAAAGAGGGCACGTTTACAGGATCTGAAAGAGACTTCATCAAAGTATGAAAGGGCAGCAGATGTGTGAAGGGATTTCCTTCGGGAAGGGAAGACCTTCAAAGGCATTATGTGGACAGAACCTTCAAAGGCATTATGTGGACAGGAGGCTGCTCCTCCTCCTTCTCTCCTGCTAGCCTTGCAGTGGGTAGCAGTTCACAAAACAATTAGCGAACCCAGACCAGCCTTAGAAATCTGTCGGTACCACTCATTCTCCACCCTTACATACAGCCTGCAAGGAAGAGCAGGGTCTCCTGCTGATCTGTCAAATCTGCCACCAACCCCCTACTGTGTTGCTCTGGTCCTCAAAGCTCCTGACACTACCCAGGAGCTGCATGCTGTGGCAGAAGTGATTCCCCCTGAAAAAATACTCTATCCCATTTTTCAGTGCTAAACTTATCTCCTACTTTCCCTTCCACCTTTTCCACTGTATTTCTTGCACTTTGTGTGATTTCATTTTAGAGTCATAAAATCAGTTTTGACTTAATGCTTGCCGACTTTTCTTTTAAAAGTGGGTTTTATTTTCCTGAATGGAAAGAGGGACCACGCTGGTAAAGCTCAGGAGTCAGTACATGGAGAATCCTGGAGGTTTCAGTGTTTGTTTCATTTGTCTTTGACACAAAAAGACAGGTAAGCAGAGAGTACCGTTTAAGACACTGTGTTAAAAATGCCTGATTTCTTAGATAGCATGCATACCAGAGATATGCCACATTCAATAGCCATGGAGAACCTGTACGCTGGAAATTCAAGAAAATAAAAGCACAGCAATAATTGACATTATTAAATTCATTGCAGACTTATAATATGAAGAGTTCAAGACCTTTTCTTTTTCTCACTTACAAATCCAGACCTCCCAAAATGGAGCCTTCAAAGCAAAAACTCCATAAGAATCATAAATATTTTAGTTCTATAAGTAATACGCAAAAGCTTCTTGGAGACTGCTCTTCTGATAATTGTCATTAAAAACTGTGTGTCATGTGCTAGTCATACTGTCTTACAGGTCCTCCTGTCACTGTTCACCAATCCTTGGGAAAACCCCTTCATTAATCTCACAAATATTTTATGAAACATATAATGCAATTCTTTTGGTGCCCCAAAACTCATTATATTCTTCTGTTACGATTTAAAAAGCACATCATCTAGAAATAAAAAAAAAGTCTAACAAAACCAACAAAAACTACTCAGCTCCCTTCAAATTTAAGGTTTCGTACACACAAATACAGATACACATTTTTGTGCCTTGAGTGCAAGTTTTACATAATCAAATGAGAAAGTTCCCAAGTTTTCTAATCAGATAGAACAGTATTTATGCTGTCAACAGATTCCTTAAAAAATGGTTTCAGGCTTCTGATATATAGTCACTTAAATAAATTGTGTAAGCATAAGGAAACTAGTGTGTAACTGTAAAAAATACTTTACATAGAAAAAGTTTACATATAAAAGCAGTAAAAATATTAACTTTTAAGCAGATTGTGTTGCCTTAAAACTTTCAGTGTTGTAAGCAGAATTCAGTTAATATCCTCAGAAACCTACCTTCAGTGTTGCACCTTAATTAGTTTATATGTTAAAGTATAGCACCGTGGATAAAAAAGCGGACATACTGTTTTGTCAGGTAATGAGGCATTATGCAGTGTGAGATGACAGGGATGGCTCCAGTGCAATTGCATTAGAAAAGGAGAGAAACAATACTGTATAATGCTACATAATCTGTTGCCAAGTGACTGCTACAGTTGAAATTGTAAAAAAAGCCATAGGATGAAAACTTGTCTCAAATCTACCCTAAGTGTGTCAACCACATTTTAATGAGTACCTAAATAGCAAAACCATTACCCACTCTCCATCATTTATGGAAAGATAAAGGTTTTGATTCTCTCAGCCAGAAATTTATTCAGATATCTTCATTATGATGAATGTGTAGGTTGTGTCTGTGCTGGTAAAGTTCTTCAACAGTATTGCTATACTCACATAAACTGAAACAAAAACTAGTAGTGTTTAGTCACATGAGCTAAAAGTATTATTTCGCCACCTAATGAAGGAGTTCACATGAAGCAGGAGTTCAAAATCTCTTTTACAAGAAAGAACTGAGACAAGAATGAAAAATGAAAAATGGAAAATAGTTACAGGACCAGGAAAACATGAATACAATTTAATTATCTCTATCTTATTAATATTCACATATACACTTGTGCATTAAGACTGTACAAAAGTCCCAGCAACTTTCACATGAATTAACAAACTCAGTATTAAAGACAAAAATGCTATTTAAAATGTCATACTGTTAATGAAAAAAAAAAATACATCTAATTCTTTATAAATTGAATTTTTATAATCGCTATTTGAAAAATCAGTACAAATCATTATCTTTCCACTTCCAATGACGGGACACCCACAATTTCTCAAGGCAACCTGTTTCAGTGTCTCACCAGCCTCATCATAACAACTTTCTTCCTTATGTCCAATTGAAACCTAGCGTCTTTTAGTGTAAAAACATTGTCGCTCTTCCTGTCAGTATAGGCCTTGGTAAAAAGTCTTTCTCTGTCTTTCTGCTAAGCCATCTTTAAGTATTGAAAGGCTGAAATATGTCTCCCTAGAGCCTTCTCTTCTCAATGCTGAAGAACCTCAACTCTCTCAGCCTTTCTTCACGGGAGAGGTATTCCATCCCTCTGATCATTTTGTGATCGTCTTCCAAACCTTCTCTAACAAGTCCATGTCTGTCTTGTACATGTTCACTTCTATTATTTTGCCACTACTCCTACCACATTCCACTACTCTTTTTTAGGTGAAGCTTAACTTGAAGCCATATTCTATAGACTTCAGAGTTCAATGTCAGATAATTCATTCAGTCCATCTCTCACTTCTCCCAGAATAACACTGCAGATGATAGATACAAAAATTTTTAATGAATTCAAAGGGAGTCTTGGACAAGTATTTGGAGGACAGATCTAAAGGATATAACTGAATATTTTTTATTACTATTTATTTGTCACATTTTCACATTTCCCAGAAAACAAACCTCAAGTGGTAGGTCCTGAGGACACCTGAGAAATCCCATGATGCAGTAGGATCTTCAGTAAATCTTCAGGCTAAAATTTCTATTTTACACTTAACACTGTGCTCATGGTATTTTAAATTTTCTTTCTTAATCACTACTGAATTGACTGTGAACTATTTTTAATAGTGAATAATCGCTAATAAACTGAAGTGAAGCCAAGTTCTTTCAACTCATGACTTTAACAGTTGTTCAGCTATTCCAATATTCAAGTTATTTAAGCAATGAAACAATATTTAAATTGTTTGTTCCCTCTTACATTTCAAGTTAATAGATTTTTTTCCAACATGCCTGACAAATTGCAGTCAAAATTTCATAAATGTTCTAAAACCCAAACTCGCTACCAATGCTCATGAATGAGTTTATAGAGGTAATGACTCTCATTACGCTTACAGTTTCCAGACAAAAGATATACAACGCTGTGTGGCTTGTTTCCTTGTTTACTGTAATTTAATCTTTATATAATACTTTGTTATGTAAGTTGAAATCAGTGGTTAAAAGCTGTCGTCTGTGCTAAATGTATTTCTAGTCAAACAGATCATAGTTCGATAAAAACATTGTTTCCATGTCTGCACAGGCCTATGATAAATATGAGTACACAAAGTATTAAACAGAGTTCTTCAGAACAAGTCTGTACTGTGATGTGATTATAACAGCACTGGCATAAATCATAGCTGTTTCTGCTGCATATCCCCTGCTTTCTCTTACGCATTTTCTGACTGATAGCTCATAGACCCAACAGTAGTTTATCATTTAGAGCATTTGGTATGTCGCTTTATAACAAACTATTGTGATCTCCTGAAAGGAGAATGAACAGTTTTTAAGAACTGCACCATATAGCGCAAGCAGACATTGGCAACTGTTTGAGTAAGATTAATTTCCATTATGTATTAACTTCTATTCATATTCAGTAGTGATGTACCTGGAGTGACAAGGCCACCTGCCTCCTGTGTTGGCATACATCGAAGTTTAAATCTGATCATTAGTGAGTGTCACCACTGCATCTCTTCCACTGGGGACTTCA